TTTCCCCGTTTTTCCCCCATTTCCCCCCATTTTTCCCCATTTTTTCCCGTTCTTTCCCCATTTTTCCCCCATTCTTTATCCCATTTTTCCCACATTATTTTCCCATTTTTTCCAATTTTTTCCCTATTTTCCCCATTTTTCCCCCATTTTTTCCCCATTTTCCCCCATTTTTCCCATTTTTTCCCCATTTTTCCCCATTTTTTCCCCATTTTCTTCCCGTTTTCCCCCATTTTTCCCCATTTTTCCCCATTTTCCCCATTTTTCCCCATTTTTCCCCCGTTTTTCCCGTTTTTCCCCATTTTTTTCCCGTTTTTCCCCGTTTTTCCCCGTTTTCCCACCGGGATTGAAGAGGATTTCCCATTTTTCCCATTTTTCCCACATTTTTCCCCATTTTTCCCATTTTCCCCCATTTTTCCCCATTTTCCCCCATTTTCCCCATTTTTCCATCCCAGAATTCCCATTTTTCCTCCATTTTTCCCCATTTTTCCCATTTTTTCCCCATTTTTCCCCCATTTTCCCCATTTTCCCATCCCAGAATTCCCATTTTTCCCCGTTTTCCCCCATTTTTCCCCATTTTTCCCGTTTTTCCCCGTTTTTCCCACCGGGATTGAAGAGGATTTCCCATTTTTCCCATCCCAGAATTCCCATTTTTTCCCATTTTCCCCCATTTTTCCCCATTTTTCCCCATTTTTCCTGTTTTTCCCCGTTTTTCCCCCGTTTCCCACTGGGATTGAAGAGGATTATCCCATTTTTTCCCCATTTTTTCCCCATTTTCCCCCATTTTTCCCCATTTTTCCCTGATTTTCCCCATTTATCCCATTTTTCCCCATTTTCCCCCACTTTTCCCCCATTTTTCCCCACTTTTCCCCATTTTTTCCCCATTTTTCCCCATTTTCCCCCATTTTCCCCCATTTTTCCCCATTTTTCCCATTTTTCCTCGTTTTTCCCCATTTTTCCCCATTTTCCCCCATTTTTCCCGTATTTTTCCCAATTTTTCCCATTTTTCCCCATTTTCCCCCCATTTTCCCCCATTTTTTCTCCATTTCTCCCCATTTTTTCCCCATTTTTCCCGTTTTTTTCCCCATTTTCCCATCCCAGAATTCCCATTTTTCCCCATTTTTTCCCCGTTTTTTCCCATTTTCCCCCGTTTTTCCCCATTTTTTCTCCATTTCTCCCCATTTTTCCCCATTTTTCCCGTTTTCCCCCGTTTTCCCCCCGTTTTTCCCACCGGGATTGAAGAGGATGATGGCTCTGAGGCAGCCCAGCTCCGTCTTGTCCATCCTCATGTCCCTCATCTTGGACACCAGCTCCGTCAGGACCCTGCGAATCCCGAAATTCCCAGCCCAAAAAATCCCCACAGCTCCGTCTTGTCCATCCTCATGTCCCTCATCTTGGACACCAGCTCCGTCAGGACCCTGCGAATCCCGAAATTCCCAGCCCAAAAAATCCCCAAAAATCCCGGAATTCCCCAAAATTCCCAAAATTCCCAAAAATCCCCGAAATTCCCAAAAATCCCCCAAAAAATCCCCACAAAATCCCCCCATTCCCAACTTTTTTTTCAATTTATGGGAGATTTTTTGGAATTTTTGAGGGATTTTTGGGAATTTTGAGATCTAAAAAATTCCCCAAATTCCAGGAATTTCAAGAATTCCCAAGAATTCCCCAAAAATTCCCCAAAAATCCAAAAAAAATCCCCAAAATTCCCTCCATTCCCAACATTTTTATTCAATTTATGGGAGATTTTTTGGGGATTTTTGGAGGATTTTTGGGAATTTTGGGATCAAAAAAATCCCCAAATTCCAGGAATTTCAAGAATTCCCAAAAATCCCCAAAAATTCCAAAAAATCCCCAAAAAAATCCCCAAAAATCCCAAAAAATTCCCCAAAAATCCCAAAAATCCCCCCATTCCCAACGTTTTTATCCAATTTATGAGAGATTTTGGGGAATTTTTTGGGGATTTTTGAGGATTTTTGGGAATTTTGGGATCCAAAAAATTCCCAAATTTTGGGAATCCCAAGAATTCCCAAAAATCCCCAAAATTCCCCAAAAATTCCCCAAAATTCAAAAAAAAATCCCCCCCAAAATCCCCCCATTCCCAATATTTTTATTCAATTTATGGGAGATTTTTTGGAATTTTTTGAGGATTTTTGGGAATTTTGGGATTCAAAAAGTTCCCCAATTTTGGGAATTTCAAGAACTTCCAAAAATAAAAAAAAAATTCCCAAAAATTCCCAAAAATCCCCAAAATTCCCAAAAAATCCCCCCAAAAAATCCCCAAAATTCCCCCATTCCCAATATTTTTATTCTATTTATGAGAGATTTCTTGGAATTTTCTGAGGATTTTTGGGAATTTTGGGATTCAAAAAGTTCCCTAATTTTGGGAATCCCAAGAATTCCCAAGAATTCCCCAAAAATTCCCCAAAAATCCAAAAAAATCCCCAAAATCCCCCCATTCCCAACGTTTTTATTCAATTTATGGGAGATTTTTTGGGGATTTTTGGAGGATTTTTGGGAATATTGGGATCAAAAAAATCCCCAAATTCCAGGAATTTCAAGAATCCCCAAAATTCCCCAAAAATTCCCCAAAAATTCCCCATTCCCAACGTTTTTATTCGATTTATGGGAGATTTTTTGGAGATTTTTTGGAGATTTTGGAGGATTTCTGGGAATTTTGGGATCCAAAAAATTCCCAAATTTTGGGAATCCCAAGAATTCCCAAAAATCCCCCAAAAATTCCCAAAAATCCCAAAAATTCCAAAAAAAATTCCCCCAAAATTCCCCCATTCCCAACATTTTTATTCAATTTATGAGAGATTTTTTGGAATTTTTTGAGGATTTTTGGGAATTTTGGGATTCAAAAAATTCCCAAATTTTGGGAATCCCAAGAATTCCCAAAAATCCCCAAAAATCCCCAAAAAATCCCAAAATCCCCCCATTCCCAACATTTTTATCCATTTATGGGAGATTTTTGGGGGATTTTTTTGGGATTTTTTGGGGATTTTGGGGATTTTTGGATCCAAAAAATTCCCAAATTTTAGGAATCCCAAGAACACCTCAAAATCCCCAAAAATCCCCCAAATCCCACAATTTTAACCCGATTTAAACGGGATTTTTGGGGATTTTTTTATTGAATTTTTGGGGATTTTTTGAGATTTTTTGGGGATTTTTTCGGGATTTTTTTGGGAATTTTGGGGATTTTTGGATCCAAAAAATTCCCAGATTCCTGGAACTCCAAGAATTCCCAAAAAATCCCCCAAATTCCATCATTTTAACCCAATTTAAATGGGATTTTTTTGGGATCTGGGTCCCCCCTGGGCCGATTTTCCCGGGGTTTTTTTTGGGATTCCCGGGAATTTCGGCTCCGGAATTTTCCGGGGATTCCCGGGAATGCCGGACCTGTCCAAGATGGAATTCTCTCAGGGAGATTTTTTGGGAATTTTTTTGGGGGGGGATTTGGGTGAAACCCAGTGGGAATTTTTGGGAATTTTGGGATTTTTGGGGATTTTTTGGGGATTTTTTTATTGAATTTTTGGGGATTTTTTGAGATTTTTTGGGATTTTTTTGGGATTTTTTGGGGGTTTTTTATGGGAATTTTGGGGATTTTTGGATCCAAAAAATTCCCAAATTTTGGGAATTCGAAGAATTCCCAAAAATTCCATCCAAAACACCCCAAAATTCCCAAAAATCCCCAAATTCCCACAATTTTTACCCAATTAAAACGGGATTTTTGGGGATTTTTTGGGATTTTTTTGGGATTTTTTTGGGATTTTTTTTGGGAATTTTGGGGATTTTGGGATCCAAAAAATTCCCAAATTTTGGGAATCCCAAGAACACCCCAAAATCCCCAAAAATCCCCC